CCAGAGCTGAGCCAAACAGTTGAGCACGTTATTTCGGGACCTTCTAGTCTTAGAGTTACCTCTATGGTAGTACTATAATTTCAACTAAAGGGTGATACGGTCAAAATTTGGTCAATATCAACTTGACGTATTTCTTTCAATTTTGCATTTAAAAAACCTGAACACCCCTCATTTTGAAGGTGTGTGTGTGTAGAATGTTGCTCCTATTTTGATTTTGGAATTCACTCTTCAGTTGTCAAAATGCCGTCCAAGCAAGAAGAGCAGCGTATCAAAATTTTGCTCGCGCATCGCGAAAATCCGAGCTACTCGCACGCAAAGTTGGCAAAATCGCTAAAAGTTGCCAAATCAACCGTTACAAATGTAATTAAAGTGTTTGGGGAACGTTTGTCGACAGCCAGGAAGTCTGGATCGGGGGGAAATCGAAAACCGGAAGCCGCTGAGACGACAAAGAGAGTTGCCGGTAGTTTCAAGCGAAACCCTAACCTCTCTCTCCGAGATGCCGCAAATAAGCTGGGTGTATCGTCTACAACCGTGCATCGAGCCAAAAAACGAGCCGGACTATCGACTTACAAGAAGGTAGTGACTCCAAATCGCGATGATAAACAAAATACGACGGCCAAAGCGCGATCCCGGAGGCTGAACACGACGATGCTGACGAAGTTTGACTGCGTGGTAATGGACGACGAAACCTACGTCAAAGCCGACTACAAGCAGCTTCCGGGACAGGAGTTTTATACGGCAAAAGGAAGGGGAAAGGTAGCAGATGTTTTCAAGCACATGAAACTGTCAAAGTTCGCAAAGAAATATCTGGTTTGGCAAGCCATCTGTACCTGTGGCTTGAAAAGCAGCATTTTCATAGCTTCCGGGACTGTCAACCAAGAAATTTACGTGAAAGAGTGTTTGAATAAACGTCTGCTGCCTTTCCTGAAGAAACACGGTTGTTCCGTACTGTTTTGGCCGGATTTGGCATCTTGCCATTACGGTAAAAAGGCCATGGAGTGGTACGCCGCCAACAACGTGCAGGTGGTTCCCAAGGACAAGAACCCTCCCAACACGCCAGAGCTCCGCCCAATTGAGAAATACTGGGCTATTGTCAAGCGGAACCTAAAGAAGACCAAAAAAACTGCTAAGGGCGAGCAGCAGTTCAAGGCAAACTGGCTTTCTGCGGCGAAGAAGGTGGACAAGGTGGCTGTACAAAATCTGATGGCAGGGGTCAAGCGTAAGGCCCGGCAATTCGGATTTGGAAAAGCGGAAGCCTAACTGAATATTTTTCCTGAATGTTATACTAATTGAACTTGAAAAAGAAATTTAATTTGATTTTTTAAATAAACGATTTCACCGATTTACACGCGTTTTCCCTTGACCAAATTTTGACCGTATCACCCTTTACAATGGGGTACGTTAATCGCTTTACTTGAGACCGCCTAGCCTAGTCAAGTAGTAAACCAATTTAAAATCGTTAGTTTCGTATTGATTGTTGATATTAATGTTGCTTCTAACAGTGGTTACGTTAGTTCATTCAATAATCAAGAGATCTGAAACGCCTCCGAAAGTGGTCTAATAGCTATTTATGCAGCAAGATGCAAACAGAAGATTTTTTCAGTACGAATTTTACAAAACTTTTGCACTCAAAATAGTGTCGAAAAGTAGAACTTTTCGGCAATGTGAGCTGAAAAGTAGTACTTTGCGACACTGATATTTAGGAAAAGGAAAAGTAGGCCATTCAAAACAGTGTCGACAACTGACACTTTTCAGCACTGAGTGCCAAAAAACTTATTTATAATCGATTGACATTCGATAGTTGTGTTGACGCCAGCTGCTTTTTAACACTGCAACAAAACAGCACCGGTATTCCATGACTTCAGTTCAACAGTATTCAGCCAAGGTATTTAACAACTGTTTACAACAAGTTTACATATGATAAATCCATTTCATTTGACGTTAGGAAAATTGTATCCATGAATAATTGAGATCATATCAGATACACTGCAAAAAAAGCATTTTCAATTATACTGAATGCAAACACGAGAGTTGACTGTACACGCACCACCGTCGTCGTCGTCTACGTCATCATCGTAAAGGAGGAAAGCCTAGGGATTTTTTTCCGTAAGGCTTCCCAGCTCGGTATTAAATAAGAGCAGACGGAAGGATTCCATCTCTTCTACGGAAAAGGACGCCGGAAATTGGTTTCACGTGCCGCCGAAGAATGCGAAGCAAGGCACTCGCCGCCATTATCGATTTGTCTTCGCGCACCCGGATTTGGCCGGAATCTTTTGGCAAGAAAATGAGGAACGTCTTTCGTTGACGGTGTGATGATGATGATGAGTGGGCAGTAATGACAAATGACTTTTTGGATTGGTTATTTACGAAACTTCTCGATGGGCTTGAAACTGATTAGATCTCGGGAAATGAAATGTGGCTTTTCAAATTCTAGCCAAGCGCAAAAGGACACTGACTTTTCATCAAGGCAACCATTTTTCAATGGCTCTTCTCCGGTAAAAACAAGTGTAATTGAAATGAATTGGTACTCATGTTGGCCCAATTTTCTTCGCTGAGAACCGTCTAAATAAATAACGATTTTTCCAACGGATTTCAAGTGCAATCCCGCAGCAACGAGAGTTTGATTTATGAGGAAGGCGATGGGCCCTTTGGGAAGCTCTCGAAGAACAGCCCCTTTGGGGTTGTTCGTTCGCCAGCTTCGTGGAATAACTGCTGTTAAGATTGGATTTGTGTTGTTTTTTTTTAGGAATTAGGAGGACGAATGGTGGTTTGTGGTTTTTGTTTTCCGCTTGAGTTTGGTCCACTCACAACTGTCCATTTGGGGATTGTGCTCGAAATGGATGATGAGCTTAAAACGGTGGAATAAGAACTTGTCCGGATGAATTTAACAGGCTTCTGAAGTAGGGTTGCGGGAATTTTACTTCACGGTTGGTGATATTCGTATGCTATGTTGGAAAAAGTTCGAATGAAAAATGTTGCGTAAGAAATGCTTCTATGAAATTCTACACACAATCAGCAAGAATTGAAAGTTCTGAATTTCACATGAAATCCTGCATGAATGTCCAAAGAAATTCAGAATGAAATTCTGCAAAATAGCGTTTATAAGGTCGATTTGTATAAAACTTTCCGTAATTGAATCTTGTAAAATTTTCAAAATTGAAGACACAAAGTGACGATTGACTCACAGATGGCGAGTGGGTGAAAATGGAAATGACGTTTTTATATCTGTCAAATTGCATGACATTTTTTTTAGTACATCATCATTTTTGTAACTATGGATCTTAAAACTAGGTCACATGACCAGTTTTGGCTATGCTTTGATTCAACAATTGGCGAATCAAAGCAAAGCCAAAACTGGTCACGCGACACCTAGTTTTAAAATCCGCAATTACAAAAATGATGACGTACTAAAAAAAACGTCATGCAATTTGACGGATTTAAAAACGTCATTTCCATCAATCGTCACTTTGAGTCTTCAATAGCGCTCTTTAAATTTAAAAAAAAATTAGCACGGAAACGGCATTTCTGATCTAAATGACGTCTAAGACAGAGTTGTGAGAGAAATGATGTCTTACTGCAAAAAATAAACAAAAACTGTTTTTATTTATTTTAAGTAAAAATTAAAAAAATATATAACCCAAACAGCTGTGTTACTTTTTCCTCTATGGAATCAGTAAAATCCGGGACATCTTGGAACATCCAACTTGGAACGATAAACTTACCTCAAAAGTGCCACAACCGACCAGCACTTTTTCAAAATAATTGAGCACTTAACGTACCCTCATCGGAATCCCACAAATAAATTCAGGCTCCAAGATCCCATAACACTCTCATCGGTATCCTCGCAGCAGGAGCCCCCACAGCTACTGTGGGAAATAAATTTATTACATTCGACCTGGAAGCACCATCCACTAGCCTCCTCCGCATAATTACAACGACGACGACGACACGCTCCATTAGCAAAATTCGCTCATTCTCGCTCGATCGTTAATTACTTGGTGTTGTTTTCCGCCGAACACCCACCGACCAAATCCGAAATTCAAGCTCCTGGAGTTTCGGAGAAATCCAAGTTCAAAGTACCAACATTTCTCCCACGAGCAGGAGGCGGAGAAGGAGGCGGAGAAGGAGGCGGAGGAGGACAAGACGAATGGACTTCGCATCAAACATCAAGCGACGACCGACCAGCGACCACCCACCTGTGCGGATGCCATATAGATGGATAGGATGGGATGGATGTGATCTTGTATTTTCCGTAGAGGAAAACCATTCTCTCACAGGTTTATATTTAAATACATAAATATTTCGCTCAACTTCTAGGACGTTGAAGTGCTTCGTTTGAGTTTGTAATTTTTATTGCTCCCTTTCTTTCCCCTCCGGTGGTAAACAAATAAACATTTGGGTAAGTGCTCTCTCGCACGTATCGCATATAGGGTGTGGGTGGATGAGATGTATGTTTCATATATTTCAGAAACTTCACTGTTGAGGTACCTAATTCCTCGCCTAATTCTGAACGGTTTGTTTCGTGGACCGAATTATTTCACCTCATTTGACATTTCATTACATCGTATGAAATGTTGCATGCAAGATGTCACTAAGTGGCGATTCGACGGAAAATAGAATCCGAAACTTGATTCAAATTTACATCAAATCTCGATGAACATTTCAAATGGTCCTATCTGCTTTGATCGATTCTCTTCATCGACTTTCTCTTTCGTCAATAACTCAGCTGCAAAACCTTTCCCTGTTGTATTTGACGTTTTGGACGCTAGATAAGAACCTCCTTTATCAAACTATGTGGTAGAATTAGCGCGAAATCTGTTTGCATAGCAGTGGTTATGAAAAGAGAAAGTCGATGAAGAGAATCGATCAAAGCAGATAGGACCATTTGAAATGTTCATCGAGAAATAATCAATGATTTTCCACCGAAGTTTGAGGGACGATGCATATCGTTATTTAACTTGATGAAACTTTAATCGCCATACCTAACCTTTCTCTTTCAGAGCATCCCCGGAGCAATGTCCCCCTGAAAAGATGACTTTCAACAGAAGAAAAACGGCAAAATGAATTCACTTCCAAATTGGTTCACCATCCTGACTGTTGCTACTGGGCTGCAATATTGTTTCTACTGCTTTGCGATAGTAAATTGCTCACGGACGTCGTCGTCATCATCGTCGTCGTCGTCTTCAATGCCCTACGGCGACAGTGAAAGTATGCCTATTTGGTTTGACGGACGTCATTGAACAACTTGAAACTAAATTTACCTTCCTTCTGTTCTGCTCAGTTCTCAAATTGACGCAATCCCCGGCCGGATCTGATGCCCGGCTGAGATGTGGCATCAAGGAATATCATGCGGACCACATGAACTCGTCGGATGTGCGGTGGTACTTTAAGGTTAGTATATTTAATCAATTACGATACAAATCTTTAAGAGCTGTTCCACCTCCGAAATCATCATCGTTTTTCTATCATTGGTTCAATGAAATTTAAAATAAAAATAGTTTCTAGAAGTTCAGAATCATAAAGAGCCGTAACTGTAATGACGACTTCAATAATGAGACCCCAAGCCAAGACGGATAATTACAGGTCAGCTGGAACTCACGGTCCGCTTGACTATTTTCGAAGACTACAAATCAAGAAGACTGGCCACTCTTCCAAAAATCAAGGGACAGTAACGGCAACGACTCTTCTGAGCAAAACACATAGCACAGGGCCTCCCTTAGCTCAGTCGGCAAAGGCGCAGCTAGAAAGCAAGACCATGCTGGAGGTGGCTGGGTTCGATTCCCGGTCCGGTCTAGGAATTTTTCGGGTTGGAAAATTTCTCGACTTCCCTGGGCATAGAAGTATGATTGGACTTGCCACACAATTATACCAATGCAAAAATGGTACAGGCATTGAAGGCTCTCAATTAATAACTGTGGAAGTGCATCTAGAACACTAAGTTGAGAGCACGCAATAAGCTAATATGCGATATGCAATAAGCTTGAAATGCGAAGAAGAAGAAGAAGAAGACAGACAAACAGACGTAACTCTTCATTGTGTATCATCGTTCACGCATTTAACGGTTGATTTGAATATTATCAGTTCCGCGAACTCCTCGCCGCAGCGCTGGCATCGGATCACTTTGACGTTTCTAAACATTCAATAGAACTTTTATGCAATATTGTTTGCGAGTTAGCGAGCAAGCTTGTTTTCCGCGAGAAGTCCGAGAGGTAGCTGTCAATTATTGGTTTTGTTATGATTGTCGTAAAAAGTGGAACGTTTCTTTCTTTGCTTTATGCTGACAAGAAGTAAAATTCCAGCTAAAACTGAACAGATGCGTAAGTAAATTTGTTTTTGAAAATTAAAACTATGGCAATAATGCCATTCACAATGATGGTGGGGCCTTCCTCGATCATTAATTTGCTCTCTCAGAATTATCTTCCACTTTTTCTAAGCCCTTTAGTTATGAATTTATGGGCATTCGTATGGTGTATTAGTAAAATGCATGCCCGTTCCACACGGCTTTGGTACCTGGCCACAGCGGGGGGAGTTAAGTTATGACGCTCGGCAACTTGCCACAGTAATCGCTGACTATTTGGCCAATCCGACACTGTTGTTATCATTCTCTGGAAGGAGTCAGTCGATTTCAAGAATTGTTAGGGCATACAGAGGATCACTATCCGGTGGTTTCATGTTCTGACTGTGGGCAGAACCACTCCACGCAAAGCGAACGACACGAGAAACACCGGAAAAGGGATCACCGACAATAAAACACCAAGAACTCGTAGTTAGAAAAGAAAGGTTTAATTCGCGTGTTAAATGTACAAAGTACTGAACGGTAGTGAAAAGAAAAATGTGCTTCGCGCCACTCCGGTGCGCGTTCGTTTTAGTTTGGTGAGGTTGGCAGTCGCCCACTGCAAAACGTACGGATGATTGTAGCAAGGTGAATAGAACAGTAGACGTGTTGCCATCTCCGACACACACGATCTTCGAGTCATCTTAGTTTGATACTCCAAGTTGTTCCAGCAATCGCCAAAACTTTGTAGCGCCCAGCGGTTTCGTAAGCGTATCTGCTGTCATTTGCTCTGACGGACAGTACAACAGCTTCACTTCGTTTCGATCGCACAAATCCTTGATAAAGTGTCACCGTGTATCAATATGTTTGCTGCGTTTGGTAACCCGCTCTGCCTGAACGAAACTCAGACAGCTTTGGTTGTCCTCGAACACTGTAGTTGCTTCATCCGGCGGTTCTCCGAGATCCGTCATGAGCCTTCGAAGCCATATTAGCTCCTGACAGGCATCACTCAACGAGATATATTCTGCCTCCATAGAGGAGAGGCTTACGCAGGATTGTCGACGGCTGACCCAAGCTATAGGTCCACCACCGAAGAAGAAAACGTATCCCGTTGTAGAACGCCGGCTTGCTAGGTCGCCGGCCCAATCGGCGTCCGAGTATCCGATGAGTTTCCATCCGTCGCTACCAGGTCCAAACTTCAACTTGAACGCTTTTGTCCCCTTTAGGTATCTGACCACCTGTTTGGCAGCTTTCCAATCCTGATTAGTTGGTTCACTAGCTTTCCGTCCAAGAAGAGACACGCTGACTGCCACGTCCGGTCTTGCGTTGACCGCAACGTACAAAAGGGCACCAACTAGACTTCGATACAGAGTTATATCCGCAAACGGTTTACTCTCACTGTTGTTTAGGGACCTCGGGTAACCCGCATCCATCGGTGTCTTCGACGTCTTGCAATCCTCGAGTTTGAACCTCCTTACTAGCGCTTCAATGTAATTCATCAATCTCAAACTATAAACTCCATCTTCGAGCTGAACATCATAGCCCAGGAAATGCTTGACCGCTCCAAGGTTAACTATGTCCACCTTCTTGTTCAGCGCTTCGAAAATCTCCTCAATCTTGGCTTGATCCGCACATCCGACCAAGAGATCATCGACATAAACGAGCAAGAAAATGGTGGTCTGCCCGTCACGCCGAACGTACAAGCAACTGTCGGATTTACATTGCTTGAAACCCATTTTTATGAGCACTTCATGGAGGGCGCGGTTCCAGCACCGTGCCGCTTGTTTGAGCCCATAAATGCTCCTCTTGAGGCGGCAAACGAACTCCTCCTTTCCGTCGACTGCGTACCCGGGAGGCTGACGCATATATATTTCTTCGTCCACCGTCCCATGTAAATAAGCCGTCCTGACATCAAAGTGCTGGAGACTCATTTTGTTCTTTCCTGCTACCACCAGTAGGGCACGTAGGGTCTCATGACGTGTCACCGGAGCAAAAACATCCAAGTAATCCACACCGTAGCGCTGGGTAAAACCCTGCGCCACCAGCCTCGCCTTGTGCTTAACGATGTCTCCGCATTCATTCCGCTTAAGCTTGAATACCCAACGGGAACCTATTGCCTTCTTCTCAGTTGGCAACGGAACGAGCTCCCAGGTTGTGTTCTCTTCATGTGATCGCATCTCGGCGTCCATGGCATTCTTCCACTCCTTGATCTCAGCTGCCTTGCGATAATCTGTGGGCTCTTCCGCCGTGTTCTTGGCAACACCCACCACGTAGTCGTCGAACCAGGTTGGCAGAACACCCCTTGTTGTCCTATCCTGACGACGCAATCTTGTCTCCTCCTGCGCATGTTCCCCGTCGGATTCTTGGGGTTCTTCATCCGAACTGTCATCTGCACTGACAAAACCTTCAAACTCTGACTCGCTATCTTCATCACGAATGGACGACTCTGCTTCCGCTGTTTCGTTTTGTTCCTCAGTATTATCCAGTGGGATTTCGATTTCACTTTCCGGGTTTTCGGCTGGGACAGCCTCACCTAGCTGCTTCTGTACTTCCGTTCCATCTCCAAACTCCAAAAACTTCGCATCCCGACTAACGGTGATGCGATTCGTGGAAGGGTCGAGGAAGTGCTCCTCCGAATAACCCACGAATTTGAGTTTAACCGCCTTGTGATCCAGCTTAGAACGCTTATCAGCTGGGACGTGTACGTATGCTGAGCACCCAAATACTTTCAGGTGCTTTAAATCCGGCTTGCTGTTCGTCCACAGCTCATAGGGCGTCCGTTCAATCACCCGAGACGGAATACGGTTCTGAATATACGCGGCCGTCATCACAGCTTCACCCCAGTACAGCTTGCCTAGTTCAGCGTCCGCCAGCATGCAGATCGCCATCTCCTGGAGTGACCGATTTTTACGCTCGGCCACCCCGTTCTGCTGCGGCGTGTACGGCGTAGTGTACTGCACGTTGATCCCCTCGCTCTCGTAGAATTTACGCAGCTCCCGGCCGATGTACTCGCCTCCTCCATCCGACCTTATGGCGACGGGTTTCCTTCCGAACAAATTCTCGCAGCGGCGCACGAACTCCTTGATTTTCCCGGTGGCTTCATCCTTACGCTTGAGCAGGTAGACGGTGGTAAAATGGCTGAAGTCATCTATCAAGGTCATGATGTACCGGTTGCCGGAGGGAGTGGTGGTTTCCATTGGCCCACAGAGATCCGTGTGGACCAAATCGAGTGGCCGCTTCGCTTTCCGTTCAACCACGGCAGGAAATGGTTTCCTTGCAAGCTTGCCCTTTAAACAACATTCGCACGTTGTGCGAACACCACAATCGGATAAATTGAAACCACTTACCAGATCATCAGCTTCCATTCGACGTAAGACATCCGGGTCGCGATGTCCCACGCGACGATGCCAAGTGTGCTGGCACCGGTCGTTATGATCACCTCCAGTCTTCAGCGATCGCTGCTGAACTCGCAGCCGATAGAGACTACCGACCTTATCACCGACCACCACCGTTTCACCAGCAGCGTTTCTCACAGTGCACTCCGAATCACTAAACACCACAACAAAACCTTTTGCTGCTAGCTGGCTCACCGAAATCAGTCCACCGTCCAGCTCAGGCACGAAAAGTACGTTCTTCAGCGTAATTTCCACTCGTCCGCCACGTCCGTCTTCACCAAAAAAAATACCATCGCCGATTCCACTCACTTTCGTCTTATTGCCGTCGGCAAGAGTAACTTTCGATTCAACACTTGTGTGCAGCGAGTGGAAAAACGCACGATCATTTGTCATATGCGCCGTAGCGCCACTGTCAATCACCCAGCTGGCTGGCATCGTGTTGCCGGCCATAAAACACACCGCGCTGCTCGATCCCTGCGCATGCTTCGCCTTCGGATTGTCATCCTTCGGCCCTCGCTTTTTACCGGACGGGTTACCGGCACCACCACTGTTGTTCTTCGCTAGCCACTTTTTGCACTGCGCTTTCACATGCCCGGGTTGCTTGCAAAAGAAACACCGCCGCTCTTCTTTGCTGCCATCCGCGGCCAATTTCATCGCCTTCACACTCTCCGAAAACGACTCGTTCTGCTGCTGCCGCTGCCGGAATTCATCCAACAGCCGAG